GCCTCTGGCACCATCCTCCAGGCCGCTCAGGGGACAGCCAGGTAGGACCATGTCCCCACCTCCAGGGCTCCTGTTGTACAACCTGTGGCAGCAGACTGGGGAGCCCAGCAGGGGTGCAGGAGGCTGCCTGCCCCATGCACCTCACCCCACTCCCTCCTCTGCGTCCTCCCCCATCAGTCCATCTGTCTGTCTCCCTTCAGCCTTATCTTTCTCTGGCCTTCCCACTCCATCTCTATTTGTGTCTTTTGGCTCCACCCGGTTTTTCTCTCTTTGTCTCTCTCCAACCCCCTCCCTTTTCACTCTCCGCCTTTTGTGTGTCTCTATCTCTATGTGTGTCTGTCTCTCTTTCTTTCCGCCTCCCTCCCTATCCCCCACTCCTCTCTCCCTCTTTCGCCCCTCCTAGCTTCTTTCCTGTCTCCAGCTCATCTTGCTGAATCCTGCAGCTCCCCCCACTGAGCCCTGCGGATAATGCTCTGTGTCCTCAGAGCTCAGCCTGGCACAAGTGAAAGATGGCTCTGGGCACACAAAACTACCTGCCAAGCTGAGCTCTAGGACTGGAGCCACCCTGGCTGGGGGAATGCAGGGCCAGTTTGGGCTGCAAAGAGCTCCGCCAGGACCCAAGTGTCCTGGCATAAGCTGCAAGTCCAAGTACAATATGGCCTAGGGCAAGGCGCTTGGCCTCGCTGAGTCTCAGTTTCCTCATCTGCAAAATAAGGACAATCACAACAGCACACTGGCCCCTGGGAGACTGTGAGATGCGAAGAATATAACGTCCCAGAAAGCACAGTGCCAGGCACATCACAGGCACTGGCCAAATGCCAGTTTCTCTCCCTCGCATTGAGCCATGGCGCACCAGGGCCCCACTTCCTGTCATGAGTCCCGTGGTAGCTAGTGGAGTCCAGTACTGCCCTGAACCGCCTCCTGCCGTCCTCACGGTCAGCTGACAAAACTGGGATCATTGAACCCATTTCAGAGATGGAGAAACTGAGGGACATTCGCAACGTGAGGATTTAAACTCAGATCTATCTCCAGATCCTGTGCTTTCTTCTCTCTGCCCATTTGCTGGGAGCTTCTCCAGGTTAGAATGGGACGTGGTGGCAGCCACCCCAGACCCCTGGTTGGGCAGAGGGGGTGCTCATAACTCTTGCCAGAAGGAAGGAAGGAAGATGCAGTGGGGCGTCTTCTCAGAAAAGGCTTAAGAGGAAACCAATGAGAGAGGGAGGGCGCCCGGGAGGGGAGGTTAGGTGGCATCGGGCATTAGCTAACTCTGAATTAACTAACTCCGATTAACCAGCCCTGGATTAGCTACTAGCGAACCTTGATTCAGGCCATTTTCAGTTTTTGTTCAAGCCTTCTGATTATATCAAGGAGAGGTCTCTGTTCGGAGCTGATGTATCTTTAATGCCGCTCTGACATTTGTCATTGTCCATTTTTAATAGAAAGCAGGTCTCAAGCTCATTGGTGTTGACACCAGCATTCTGGAAGTCACTGGCAGAGCCTTGTTTTCTTTATAATATTCGCTGTTACTTTCTGGTTTTGGCAAGTGATCCTGGTTTCCCAGGTACAATAATGATGTAAAGTTTGCTTAATAAATGCAATTATTGAAGTTTTTAAAATGTGAGTTAATTTTTTTAAATGTTTTTATTGATTTGAGAGAGCGAGAGAGAGGTAGGGAGAGCGAAAGAGAGAAACATCAATCTGCTGCCTCCTGCTGGGGATTGAGCCCACAACCTGGGCATGTGTCCTGGCCAGAATGGAACCAGCAGCCCTTAGTGCATGAGACAAGACTCAATCAACTGAGCCACACCGGCCAGACAAAAATATGTGAGTTAATCCTATATAATAAAAGCCTAAGATGCTAAGTGTCCGACCATTCATTCGACCGTTCGACCAGTCGCTATGACGCACACTGACTACCAGGGGTCAGATGCTCCAACTGACAGGTTAGCTTGCGGCTGGGGTCCAGCCGAAGGACTGGGTGAGATGGGCTGGATACACCCTGGAGCCCTCCCATGGTCCCTCCCCGGCCAGCCAACCTCCTGCGGTCCATCCCCAGCAGGCCAGCCCTGATCAGTCAGGGCTGGGCAAGACAGGCCAGACACAACCTGGACAAATCCGTGCACCAGGCCAGGTCCGGTCCGATCCCCGCAGGCCAGGCCGAGGGACCCCCCCTGTGCATGAATCTGTACACCTGGCCTCGCGTGTAAAGATGAATGTGAAGCAGGTCATCACCCAGGTGGTATGAAGCACCTGAAAGTTGGGAAACGTCGATCCAATGCCGTGCCTTTGTAGGTGAGGACATGGTGGCCCAGAGGGGGCAGGTCCTTGCCTGGGCACTGAGGGGTCAGTGGTCAGTCTGGCCCAGAGAAGACAGGCCTGGGCCTTCCCCCTGCCTGGGCGGGGGCTCCTCACGCTGCCCTGTCCATCCTCGGCTCCCTGGCTGTCCAGGGCAGAGCTGTGAGGAGAAGGAGGAAATGTTTTTCTTCTACAATTGGAAAAAATAACAGTGGGGCCAGGCTGTGCTGGGAGGAGGGGGCTCCTGCCTCAGAGAATGCTTTTCCTGCAGGAAACGCTGCTGATACCTCCTGATACGCTGGCTGCTCTGAGCACTGCCTTGGTGACAGGAAGGTGCTGGAAACAGAATCCTCTGGGACAGCTCAGCCCCCTCCCCCCTTCCTGGGCCTCTAGAGGGAGAGGGAGGGGGAGGGAAGGAGAGGGGGAGGGAGAGGGAGGATGCCAGGAGCCGAGGCTTCTTCAAGGCTTTACCCCTATTGTTTCCTCCTGGAGCAGCCTGAGAGGTGGGGTTTGTCAGCCCATTTTACAGATGGGGACATTGAGGATCAACGCTTGCCTGTGGGGGCACAGCTCACTGGCCTCCAGACCCTGCTCTTGACCACTGCATCCCTCTACCCCTTGCCTGGGAGTTGAGACCCGAGTTCCACCCCAGCTCTGCCCCTAGCCACCTGTGTGGCCTTGGTGACCCCACCTCTCTTTGAGCCTCAGTTTCCTTATCTGGAAAAAGGGGAGTATAATCCACCTTACAAGGCTGCTGTGAGGATGGAAAAATACACGCATGTCACATGGCCCAGCATTTCAGGAAGTGGCATCCACCGTCTTTCCAGCTCTGAAACTCTACTCCTCTCCCCCAGGCTCCTCAAATCGATCATCTGTACCCCACTCAGGAGAGCCCCAGACCCAGATAATATCACCCTCGTGGCAGCTGCCACTGAGATCACCTGTTTAATTAACCCTTCACTGGTCTCCCTCCTCTCTTCTCAGAAACATGGACACCAAGGTTCAGAGAGGCCTAGAGGCCTGACCGAGGTCACACAGCAAATAGGTGGCCCAACGTGACTCCTACTCCCTCTCTAGCCCACCTTGCCCCTCCTATCAGCTCTCCTGTCATTGCCACCACATCCCACTGAGTGACCCGGAGGGGCCCGGATGACCCTCA